TTTAAAATGAACAAATAGATGAAGATTGAAAATGTATTTTGTATTCTAGATAAATAAATAGATGTAAAGATGTATCTATTCTAGATAAATAAATAGATGTAAAGATGTATCTATTCTAGATAAATAAATAGATGTAAAGATGTATCTATTCTAGATAAATAAATAGATGTAAAGATGTATCTATTCTAGATAAATAAATAGATGTAAAGATGTACTATTCTTGATAAAGAAATAGATGTAAATAGATCGAAATAAAAAAATAGATAGAGATGTATTCTAGAAAAAGGATAGTATGCTCTGATTCTATACAAAACTCCCTCAGTCCCCCTCTCATTCTAAATAAGGTCCTTATTCCTCCCCCCACCCCTCTCTCATTCTAAATCAGGGCCTCATTCGTCCCTTCCCCCCTCTCACATTATAAATAAGGACTTCATTCCTATCCCCCCCCCCTCCCTGTCATTCTAAGTAAGTAAGTAAGGCCCCTATTCCTCCTCCCCCCTAACATTCTAAGTAAGCTATGTACCTATCTCTCCCCCCTGATATGCAATGTAAGCTATGTCCTTATATCTCCCTCTTAACATTGCTACAACTATGTCCTTAACACTAATAATTGACTACACTAGAAGACTAATTCGAGTTGAGTACTTAGCTCTGGTGGGATGATTATAAGGGTGTAAATCATAATAAATATGATAAATATAATAAATATATTGAATTTATCATCCCTCATCGCTCACGGGATACCAACAGCAATCAACAAAAAAAAAGCTTTAAAGCCAGACATGTTTTCAAAAATATATTTAAACTATTATTTTTTCCAATTTTGATTTTGATATATTGAGAGAAAGTATTAACCCCTGGTGTATGTTGAAGTATCTACTCCCAAAGATCGATCGGGCGTGAATTATGCGTAACAAGGGGAATATAACGCGTCAAAATGCGTCAAAACACGTGACAGACGCGTCAATGAACTCCTACCTTCAAGAAAATCAGGTTAAATAAAATCATAACCAAAAATATCTAAATCGTTAAACAGTTTTAACAAAAACTCCGAACTCTCCGAACTATAGTTTTCCTTGATAAAGTTAAAATTATAGTTGGTTGAAGGTTGAACCAAACCAGACCAAATGGAAAATAAACGAAAGATAGAAACTCTTGTGAACGGTTTCAAGTATTTTTTCTTTTTTTTTGTCGTTAACTGTTCCCTAAAATATGTTTGCCATGAAAATCTGAAGGTTTTTTGATTAATTACTGGAGGGTCTCCGATGAAATACATGTGAAATCGGGGATTGGAAGTCTTCGATGAGATGACAGTTGCAGTTCTCCAATGGTGATAAGTTCTTTTAAAACTAGGTTAAGAAATATATCTAGATGTTAACGTTTTAAAACGTTGAAGTTCCAACCCGTATTTATTTATGAACAAAACTAAAAAGAAAAATTTTAGGGAATCATAAAATTAAGCATGTCTGCATCACATTACTATTAAGTCATACATACTATGTTGAAAATGATGTAAACCAGAGTAAAAATGATGCAATTAACGCATTTATTGAGAAGAATGAAGAATGTAAACCAAGGATATAATTATTTGATCATTATAAAGTAATTATTAATAATACGCAGGGCGTAATATTGACTGTTACGCAGTATACGCTATAGGGCGTATCCAGACTATAGTCCTGTTAATTAATGAACGCATCATGAACCAAGAATAAGGAATTAGGATACACTAGGATACAGATTCATTACAACCAATTAATCATTTTTCATCTAGCAATATCAGTAATATAGAAACTACTTAATCCTGCGTAAATAAATATAGACCTTGAGTGTTATTTGGACAAAGGTCTTTCAATAAAAAAAAGCATGTCCAGTTCACAACGGTACCGATCAAGAATAAATAATATATCCATGCTTTCAATGGGAAAATTAACCATTATCAAATGTGGTTTCTCTATATAAGTGACTTCCGGATTTCTGCTACAGATACAATAGAATAAATTGTTAGAATTATACACTGGCAAGATAAAAAAAAACACACTTTATCTTCCATGTAATTGAATAGATTAAGGTTTCAAGTGTACCATTGTAAATCGGACATGACCCTCTTTAAATGCAGGGTCACTTGAAAATACGAGAGTATATGTGCATGGCAGGAAAATAAATTAAGTCTCCAAATTTTTTAATGTTAAAGATTTTGCTAGTCGTTTATGTCTCATGCTTTTTGGGTAAGACTGTATAACTGTTGTATTCTGTAAATTATATATTTGGATCTAATGAAATCAAGTTGTATTCAGCTCACGTTTGATAAAACTGAATATTAAGTTTGAACCAGGTTTTACATCGCATTATTTGCTGTTGCTCACAATGTCATTTTTTGCTCCTTTTATCATTGACCTAGCTCCCCTTTCATATAGTCCCTGTCTCAGGTTCCCTGTCATATAGTCCCTGTCTCAGGTTCCCTTTCATTTAGTCCCTGTCTCAGGTTCCCTGTCAGCACCCTCTTACAGCTTTCCTGTCGTGCACAGTCCCTGTAGCACAATTTCCCTGTCATAAAGTCCCTTTTTGAGTAATACAAGGACAGGGGGGAAATGAATCTTGAGATTTGATTGCATATGAATATGATAGAGTGGGAATAAGATGGATCGTCTGCTTTTTGATTTGAAATCTATTTTATATCCTGAGTATTCTAGTGTTGTGATAACCTGATACACTCCCCACCCCCCTTTATTTGTGGGAGTGGTTTGCAGGAATATGAGAGGGGGAGTCTAATTCGAAGACGAATGGGATGGAGTGATTAACCAGGGGTATTTGTGGGAGTGGTTTACTGAAAAGGGAAGAGGTATTAAATCAAAGATAAGTGGGGGGAGTGATTTACTGAAGAACGCGGGAGTCTTATTCTAAGAATAAGTGGAGGAAACGATTTATCAGGGATATTTGAGGGAGGAGAGTCTAATCCTAAGGATAATAGAATGGAGTGGTTTACTGAAGTAAGAAGGAGTCATACCGCGAATATTGGGAAGAAGTGGTGTAATATGAGAGTAAGGGTTAGTTTAATAATAATGAGGGATGAAGTGGTTTAATAAAGAGGGTGGGAGTATTGCAATATGGGAATGAGGGAAAGGGTGGTTTATTGAAGATGGACGGGAGTAATAACATGCTGAGGTTAAACCAAGAACTAGGAAGGATTGAAAAAAACAAGGATGGGATTGAAGAGAAATCAAAACCTGTGAAAAGAAAGGAGTTTTAACTCCAATGGATATGATACACCAGGGG